TATATATTTATTATTAGATTAAAAATAAAATTATTTCTATAAGTGTTACAAATAATAATGACATTATACAACGATAAATTTTTAAATAAAATAATATTTTAGTATTATGATGAAATTTTTTTTGTATTAAAGTTAATATATAATTTAAAATATTATTTGTATTAATATAAACGGGTCAATGGACTAATATATTGTAAAAATAAAGTTTTGAAAAAATATTTTAAAATACGAAACCCCGTGCATCGCACGGGATTCTCACTAGTGAAAAAGGAAAAAAAAACGACCACAATAGGGTAATGCTCGAGTGAGAAACAAGCCCAACAGGATAATAAGACACTCACTCGGGTGAAAACAGAGGCCAACGGCCCAAACCAAACACACGATTCCTAACAATCAAAACAAAGCGAATCAAAATAAAATAAACTGACTAATTACAATAAAACGAGCCCTACCGAAACAGCTAGACCGAGCAGAGCCAACGGATAAGGACGACCCAAATTGAGTTCACCAAATAAAAGGACTAATCACGAAACTGCCAAAAACCAACTCGGTTGCCTAACGGAGATGGATCAAAGCCCCGGGACATCAACCAAAGCCAACGCGCTGTTGGGATTTATGAGGACCGTTATATACAAATTACGAATTCAATAGCAATCATAAATCTATACGCAACGGATCTAAAGGTTTCACGTAGAAAACTTACGGCTTAAAATTTTCTGAATCTGGCTGATTCGGGTTGACCGGGATGAACACACGAATGGAACTGGATCACACGAACAGAAAGTCGGGGTTGGCCTTGTAACGTTCGATTGGGTCTTGTCGGAGTCGCCAGGTCGTGTCGCAGCTTCTGAGTAGTGCGTTGCGGCGTCGGGCAGGCACGTCGCGACGGTCTGGTCCTTCGGCTAGGTCGCAGTGTCGGACGGCGGGCTGGGGTTGGCGATCCTCGTCCTTCGGGTCGTGTTTCATCGGCTCCGATTGATCACATAGTTGATGAATATATGTATCTCAATTACCACGGGATCTTCTACTGTATATCTCAAAACACCTCTTCAACTTGTATCAGTGAAGCAACAAGAAGAAAATAAAACTCAAATATGGGAACTGAGAGAGAGAGGGAGGGAGAGAGGCGCGCGCTGGGAAGGGGTGCGTGTATTATGTCCAACTCTGCTCTTCTCATGGGGTTAATGATGTATATATAGAGCTATAGTATGGACCCTTAAAAGACTAGGAATATGATTCCTTAATTAATTAGGCTAACTGTGGGCTAAACCCACTCTTATAATTAATTAAATAATATTATGGGTCACCAACATAATATTATTGCACTCTATTTTCCTAGCCCAATTTACAATTGAGACTCCAATTATAATTATCCCAATTACCTCCCCATGTTTAAGATATAATGTTCATTAATTAATTTGATTATTGATAATCAAGAATTAATTAATTTATTATTATTTCACTGAAACTAGCGCTCGTTCATCACATTATTACTATGCTGGAATTTAATCCACCTGCAGGGTTTAGCATAATAATCATTCATGAACTCACTCCGGGGACATCATTAAACTAAACGTACATGGTGATCGTAATTCTAATAGTACATCATACATACAGTAAAATTACCCAAGACAGTAGGAATATTAATTCAACAAATTGAACCTCATTCAAATGAATCAAAATAATATTTAATGCATATATATATGTTTATTTAATATCTTACGGGTTAAGATAACGCAGTAATTAACTGAGGCCTAGTTCGTTTACGACGATTAGCATAGAACGAACTTCTCCTCTCTGGGATCCTGTTCAATACATAAATGTACTAGTGCAACTAATCAGTCAAGACAAATTGTACCGTTGACACTACAATCGTTCGTGATGGGGTGTTCATTTCCATCTAGGTTGTGAACTGTAATTCTTGTTTCGCAAGTAACTGATAGAATGGTTTTTGGTTCGCCTGATGACGACCCACTCTATCTAAGTGCACAACAACAGAACGTAGAACTTGTTTAATCTAGAATGATTCTCATTCATAAATGGTAAAAGTGTAATATTATCCAAAGTCAAGCTTTCAGTATATAACACTAACACGCGCACCACGACCACAACACCTGATTTGCCCTCGAACCGCCACTGGACCGAGCCCTCTATCACCACTAGAGAGCTCAATAGCACCCGGTGAAACTCCTGAAAACCGAATAACAGGGAGAGAGAGCAGAAGGTGTCGAGGCCGCAACCTCGACCCCCAGACCACCTGAAA